ACCTCGTTCTGCCTCCTGCCGTGGCGCGGGACTCAGCGCCGGAGGGCCTCGCCAGGCTCTTCTTCCGAAGTTCTTAAAGCGGGAGGGAAGAGGAAGCCCCTGTAGTTTACCTCACGACATGAACACCGGTATTGGGATTGAAGGATTCCTGGGTAGGTGCAGAGAGCGCGCAAATTCATAACTGGCTGAATGGCGCGAGTTAGGATGGTATTTCCAGACAGACTTAAAGCCGCCGCTCGAGCATTTTATTTTCTGTAGAATAAGGCCCGTGTTTAAAGTATTCAAAGAGCTCTTTTCGGTAACACTTGTGAACCATTTTTTAAAATTACAATAAAGAAATATATTATAATATTACTGTATTATTGCCTCCAAGGAATTCAAGGCAGAGTGCATGTCTCCTTATTTTATCCTCAGAAAAACACTGAGAAGCCGCTTTCAAAACATTCACATGATATTTTGCAGCAAAACACAGGAAGGGTCTTGTGATTCGGGCTATCCATGAGGAAATTTTGTTTTACAGTATTTTGTTGTTCCCTAATTTGGTTCCTTTGGGGGTGTTTCTTTTTTTCCGTTCGGTTTTGTATTTCACATACAGGTCTTTCATTTAGTACAAGAGAAAAGCTTCTGTGCTGTGTTCTTCCCCCACGCCTTTTTTTTTTTTTTTTTTTTTTTTTTTTTTTTCAAGAGCACTAAACAACTCTTTAAAATTATTCCAAAGAAGCAGGGGCAAGGCAACAGGGAATCGATCTACTCCAAAAGTAGGCAACAGTACATGAGGGGAAAATATCATCCTCAGTCCTATACAGACACTTGTTTGTATTATCATGTTCAAAACCAGAATTAGAGTTCAGGGCCACCCGCTCAGCACAACAAACCCTCTTGGCCTGGGCAGCACAATGGAAAAAATGCAAGGATGCTTTCAACCAGAAAGGCACGAATGCTTGGTACACTGCCTGCCTGGTACTCACCAAAGCAACCAACAATATACTGTAATACCAAGAACAAGAGAAATGCACACACAGTCCAGTGTCATACTGGCAAAGTTGACCCCACTGGTCCACAGAACCCCACAGAAGCAAACAAAACAATCTTGACCAGAACAACCCCCACAAAAATAAACACTTTTAATAGAATAAACACACATTAAGCAAATAATATTTAAAAATCAATTAAATAGGGAAAGCATCCTCCGGGGAGGGAGGGATAGCAAATAAAAAAGCTTCTCACAAGAATTAAGAAAAGCAAACAGGAAAATAAAAGAGAAAAAATAAAATTAAAGCCCCAATTAAACCAAAATTATTCAAATTTAGGGAGAATTCTCGATTAATTTTCTTTGAGTCCAGCAAGAAGCAACGAAAAATAATCCAAGACAGGAAAGGGGAAAACACAACAAGTTACATGAACCTGACAGGAACGCTGAGAGAAGTCACAGATGACCTAGTTGGATTTTATGTAATGAGGGCATTGTTGTTATATGCTGTGAAGTGGGTTTTTCTGTAACAAGGTAAGAGGGTTCTCTCTCTCAAAATATTCAAATAGTGTAACAAGTAGTGAGCACTAATTAGTTTTTAAACACTATAATATGTGTGTGCCTTTGTGTTTGTATGTGTATGTGTGTGTTACATGCTATGAAGTGATTTCTGATTTATGGTGAGTCTATTGTTACATGAACCTGACAGGAATGCTGAGAGAAGTCACAGATGACCTAGTTAGATTTTATGTAATGAGGGCATTGTTGTTATATGCTGTGAAGTGGGTGTTTCTGTAACAAGGTAAGAGGGTTCTCTATCTGAAAATGTTCGAATAGTGTAGCAAGTAGTGAGCACTAATTAGTTTTTAAACACTATAATATGTGTGTGCCTTTGTGTTTGTATGTGTATGTGTGTGTTACATGCTATGAAGTGATTTCTGATTTATGGTACGTCTATTAATTCCTGATTTCCCAATATGTCCTATTCTTAAGTAGGATTTTTTTAAACTCACCTTCCCAGCTCTATTATGTGCAATCTTGATAGTCAGATCCCGTGAGGAGCCTTGTGCATAGTCTCATTGATATGTACAGATCCTCACCCAGCTAAGGATATGTACACAAATGCTTGCTTTCATAAGCACATGATATACCTTTAGCTGTAGCAGGGGGACTAGGTGATGGATCTGCATTGTTCACAGGGATTCAACCACTTGTCCTGTTCCTTTTCCCAAATACCAACCAGTGATCATATGATGACTCTCTGCTCGGTCTCTCCCATCTGCAGTACCAGGAAACATGAGGAGGGCAAGGGAAGTACTGAAGTGATGCTTTAAGAGCCAACTAAGTCCTGGCCTTGAAACTTAGCTGCTTCTGAAAAAGACAATTTGAACTAAATTCTCTAACCTTCCCTATAGGGAGGTGTGAGAGTTCAGTGTTCTGCTCCAACTCTTTTTCAAAGAATGCACCCACTCTCCTTGGTTTAGAAATGGGGGTAACATTTATTGGGGTATTTAATAACAGTCCAGTGTCCACAAAGGCATTCCGAACATTCTCTCCCTTAGACAACAGGTCTGAAGGAGGGGTTCCAGTCATCAGCCTTGGAGGGGTTCTTTCCCTGGCTATTCCAGGGTCTGAGCCACTCCGGTGGGGTTTCAGAGTTCAATAGTAGCCCCTCCTCTCCTTCCAGTAGGGTGATAGTGTCTTCGTCTTGAATGTCCACCCAGTCACACTCTCTGGGGGATTCCCCCGTCTCTCATGGGCCTCCAGGACTTCCTTCTCACTTTATCTTAACAATGATCCTATAAAACAGGTCAGGTTGAGGCATGGCTCATCTAAGATCACCCCATGGTTGAGTGGAAATTTTAATTTAGATTAAGTTGTAATCCAACAGCACTGTATGACTATTTATGATCATTGAGGAAATGGCTGACCTAGACATATCATGCATGAATACATGATATGGCAATAATATTATTGTCATATGAACTGGGTATTAAACATTAAATGCTATATTTTACAAGTAAAATTCACAATAAAGACATCTATTAATATTTTGTAAGTCCAGAAATACCCGTTTTTGCTTGATATTTGTCACTGTGAGGCAGAAGAAAAAACTTGGACTAGAGCTGCTGGTGGGCTGAAATTTCTGAGCCTAGGACTAATACTATAGTTTAAAAAATATGGCAGAGAACTAAGAGATTTTCTCTTTTCATCTCTATGGTGCAGCCTGCCTTCCAAGTGAAAATACCAGGTACATTTATAAATACACTTTGGAATTACCTGGGTATAATTTTTGAAGCCATCTAGAAGATTTTTGTATCTTGTACCTAGAATAATATAACCAAAATTTGAAAGGCATAATTTAATGCAAAAAAACCTTATAAATAAAAAAAGCTTAAAAAGAGAGATTATGTCTGTAACAGTCTATTAGAAACAAAGGAACAGGTGTGAAATGTGCATGGTCTCATTTAAAAGTTTTATCTGTCTTTAAGTTATAAAGCAAGTTTTTTTTAAAGGGGAGAGCTAGTGCAAAAGCAATCGTTAAGTTATAAGAACAAGTACGTAGTGTCTTAAAATACTGAAGAATATGTTAATCATCATCATCATCATAAACAACTTAGTTTTTTGTTAAAACATGTATCTGTTATATAATAGCAGTCAATGTTTTTGTAATTTTGACTGTGCCTGGAGTTTTTTAATGATGATGATGATGATGATGATGTGTCATCCAGTCAGTTCTGATTTATGGCAATGCTTTTCCAGGATTTTATAGATACACAGTCCTCAGAAATAGTTTACCATTTCTTTCTTCTCAGGGTGGTCTGGAATTATGTTGCTTGGCCAGGACCACATAGACCGGCTTTTCTCCTGGGAGATGCAGTGGAAATCGAAGCTTTGGCCAGGTGTTCAAACTCACTAAGCTATCCAACCAGAGAACGTTACATGAACAAAAATCCTGCATACTAATAGTGGCCTTATTCTTTGAGTGCTAGTACAGACAAAACAGTGCTATCCACGTACACAAAGAAGTTATCAGTAGGTGTGGAGGAAGATGAAAGATTGAAGAAGTACTTTCATGCTATGTAAAAGCCATCAGGAAAAGCCCAGGTGGAGGAAGAGGCTAAATATATTGCAATGAAGACTAAGAAACTTACTGGCCACAGAATAATGGGTATCCATCATATAATGCTGAACACTAATCTTGTTGGATTTCAGAAGACACATAGGATCAGGTCTTGGTTAGTATTTGGATGAAGGACTATCAATAATTGTCAGGGATGTCCAGGTAGGAATACAAATCCTGCCTGTAACCAAGGTGAGCCACTACAAGCAGAGCTGATTATACAAGTATAGATGGACTATTATCTAATTCGGTTAAGACTCTTTTGGATATCCTGGACAACCCAGACAATATAGTTGCTGACCTAGAGCCAGACATCCTGGAGAGTGAGGTCAAGTGGGCCTTAGAAAGCCTGGCTAACAACAAGGCCAGTGGAGGTGATGGCATTCCAGTCGAACTATTTAAAATCTTAAAGGATGATGCTGTTAAGGTGCTACATTCAATATGCCAACAAGTTTGGAAAACTCAACAGTGGCCAGAGGACTGGAAAAGATCAGTCTATATCCCAATACCAAAGAAGGGCAGTGCCAAAGAATGCTCCAACTACCGGACAATT